AATACTGGAACAACATAATCAAACTATCCATAAGGACCTAGAACAAAATAAGGAGATGAGTAACAGCCAATATGGGTTTAGTAAGGATGAATTATGTCAAACTCAGCCCACTCATTCCATGGTGAGATGACAGACCCTGTGGATAGAGAAGTCATATATCTTGACTCTAGTAAGCTTCTGCCACTGTCTCACATAACAGTCTCATAAGTGAGCTCAGGGATATCCTCCAGATGAGATTGCTGTAGGGCATAGGAAGAGTTCAGAAAACCATACTCTTAAAGTGTACCTTAATGGCTCACTGTGAGACTGGAAGCACCTCTGGAGTGGGTCCTGGGCCAGTAATATTCAGTATTTTTCTTAATGTCTTAGAAGGTGGAACAGAGAATGTGTGCATGATATCTGCAGATGGTACCAAGCTGGGGGGGAGTGCAACAGCCTTTGAAGACAGCATTGCAATACAGAATGATCTTGACAAATTGCAGAAATAGTCTGAAAAAATAGGATGCAATTCAGGATGAATCAGTGCAAAGTTGTCACTGATGCGTAATCAGCTGTTCAAATATAGGATGGGGACAACTGATTACAAAGCAGTTCTGCAGGAAAGCATCTGGGGTTACAGTGAATCAGAAGCTGTACATGAGTCAACAGTGTCATGCTGTTGCAAAAAGGGCATATGTCAAACTGGGATATATAAACAGGAGTGTCATATGTTAGACATGTGAAGTAATCCCACTTGGTGCTGGGAAGATTTCAAATGCAATGCTGCATTCGGTTTTTGGTGCTGCACTTCAAAACATATGTTGCCCAGCCACAGAACAATGAAAATTGTGCAAGGTCCAGAGAACATGACCTACGAGGAATGACTGAAGAAATTGGGGTTATTTGGGGAGTGGATGGAATAAGTCTTCAAATATATTAAAAATTGCTGCAAAGAGAAAGGAAATAAACTGTTTTCCATTTAAGCTTAAAATAGCATAAAAAGGAAGAGACATGTTTTTAAAAAGTGTCCAACAGTAGGAATATTTTCTAATGGTACGCACACTGGAATAGACTTCCCAGAGAAATTGTTGAATATGCATCATAATGGTCCAACATGCCTTAAAAATGAAATAGGTGTAGCTAATCCTATTACTGGGCAGAGAGGACTGGCCTTACAAGGATATTTTGTTTTCTCTGAGGAATCTCCAGTCCATCAAGGTTAATGCTTTCAAAATTGTTGTAATCCCAATTTTTTTCTTTCAAAATGATTTTTTTTTAAATAAATAGAGTAATCCTGAATAACAAATAAGTAAAGGTTGAAGCTGACAATGTCTTTATCTGGCAATGTCACTACATACTGAAAATTTTTGATTTATCAAAACCAAAATAATTTCTACATTTCTAAGCATGAAGGGGGTCATCAACTCTGAGATGAATTTCATTCAAGTTGAGTTATCTACCTATGTATAAATGACTTGCAGAAAGGAAAAAAAAAAAAGGAAGAAAAGGAAAAAAAACGTACATTTAATTACCAGCATTACAGGCATCAAAAGACAGAAAAAAAGTAAGTAAGATCAAACACTCTTTAGGTAACACAGCTGAGTTCACTGTGACTACTCAAGATGGGAACCATTGTTAAAGACAAGTACACACACCATATTTGGCCCTTTATTGTGCATGAAAATTTCTGTAACCCTTACTGTAATGCACAAATCACACACACTGTTTTGAAAAATCAGACCTAAAATACCCCAAAGCCTTAACAATAGATCACACTATTGTTCCATGTAATTTGCACCTAACCAAGAAATTGGAAAAACCTATAAGAACATATCTCGTTGATTGTATATTGCTATATTTGGGGGGAGAAAATTCCTTCCTGATCCCAGTGGGGAATTCAGCTCATGCCCTGAAGCATGAGATTTGATTACTCTTTTTTGAACATGCATAACTGCCATTGCTATTACTGGTCATAACATTTTGTCAGGAAAGAGAAATATTATTCTGCAATGTAATAAAAATAGATAAAATTCAATATAGCTTCAGAATCATTTGCTACATTTCCAAAGTAAACATTAAGCACCCATCAAGATTATTCCATTGGATAATCCAAGGAAGCCTCCAGTGCTATCTGTTCATTTTATTATCTCTAATTTTCGAGTGTGCAAAAATGCTTTCAGTAAATATTATGGGTTCTTCCTGTGCTGAAGGAGATGCTGAATGACCTTCACCAAGTTAGTTATAAATAACAGGAGGAGAGCACACAGAAACGCTGTTTAGTTCCAGTGCTATTCAAAACTATCAGCGGACTCTGACCAGTGAATAAAAATGGACACCAGATTCTGCTCGCTTTTTTTCCCCCTTCTTCATAATCCCACCCCAGTTCGCTGCTGAAAGGCATTCTGTTCTGTCAGCCATAATGGCATCTGCTGGTGGAGACAGGAAGCCATAAATCTGTAGGGTTCCTCTCGACCAAGCCTTGTTAATGCTCCCATTTATCACTGCGGATAGGGTGCCATCTCACTAGTGCTCTACTCAGAAGTCCATCTTCTCAATTTTCCCTTCCCAAAGGAGTAACCATTTAAAATAGTGACTTTCTCATCTTGCATGTTGAGACTGAAAACGCCACTGATACAAATACCATACCCAGTGTGTAGCATTTGGATTTAAGCCATGACTCTGGAGAACAATAGCTGCTACTTGCTGATCCCGGGCTACGCTGAATCACTGTTTTACTTAAATCTAGAGTTTGTATCTTTTAAATCTGCACAGAAGTAGCAGATCCCAGATGCAGGAGAGGTCAAAAACCGAGGGGATTCTGTTCGCCCCAGATGCTTGCTGATGTCCCAAGACATTACATCATGTCCCAAGGTTTGGCAGAACGGTTAATAAAAATGTCACAGTGTTAAAAAAGCTTTTAATACACAATTCCTCCTAATAAACAAACTATCCTAATCAGAGGCACAACACCTTTCTGGATGCAACCAGGGAGCACAAGTATGAAACTGTAACTAGAAGTATCTCCATTTTACTGACGTGGGAACTGAGACACAGAACATGAAGGGTTTAAAATCGCAAATCAATGTGAAAAGCAAATATGAGGCTGCCTGCCATCCTGCTGCTGAACTACTTGATCCAGGTCCAGTGCCTCCCTTATAAATTAGATAGCGTGCCATCTCGTCAAAGGACAGCGAGGGTATAACTGCTCAGACGCCGCTGACGCCGCTGACGCCGCAGCCACGCTTTGCCCTGCGTTTACACTTGTCTGAACTGCAGGCAAATCGGAAATCCCCAGGTGTGCGCAAGGTAGGGTTTTACACACGCTAAATGCAGGTATAAGAGGTCCAAGCAATTCTAACTGATTCAAGGGTGGCTCTTCACTTCTGAGTGAGTTATGCCAGGCAGAAGCGGAAAAAATGGCTGTTTTATAGGAGTGCTATCCAGTTTTGTCTTTCAAACTAAGCATTTACTTGCACCAATAAATACTTTTAAATGGCTTACAAAAATTGGTCGAGTTCATATAGGGAAGGCTATCAAATAATTTAAGTGGACTACCAAATCAGGTAGCTGGACGCTTTCATAAACACCATCTCCTACGAGGCTGCTAAACGCAGCGCTTGGTTAGGGGTCTTCCCTTGGAAGCTCACAGCCTGGCCGAGCTCGGGCAGGAGGGCTGCAGGCCACCAGCTGACACCAGCTACAGCCGTCGAGTTACCGCCAGCGCATCCCGACAGAGCCCGGCCTGACAGAGCAGGGTGAGTGGGATGCAAATTATTTCTCTTAATGACAATAATTTCCTTGGAAAGATACAAATACCTTTACAGTAACACCCGAGAACTCGGTTCCGTTACAAATTCCGGCTGTCGAGCGCTGTGAAATCCAGCGACACGAATTCTCCTACAAATGAGAACTAAACGCACAGAACTGAACCCATCCCGTCAGCCCCGAAGCATTTTTAAAACCTCAAGGTGCTCACCGCAGCGGTGGGAAAAACCCTGAAAGGACCCCACCAGGCCTGGGAGTAGGGGTTATCTCCGCTTTAGCGACCGAGCTTCCTCCAGACTCGCGCCTCACCCGCCCCTCCTCGGCCCGGCAGTTTTGTGGGCTCCCTCTGG